TCTACCAGCCGGTTAACTGAGATCCATAGAATTCACCAATAAGTAGGGCGAGCGCTCATAAATCATCATCTTTCTTGCTTCAATTAAATTAATAGCAACCATCCATTAGTGTTCAACTCTATTCTGCGGCTTTCTGCCTTTTTAAAGTCTTTAACAGTGTGTCTGAGGGAGTTTCATCTGCACAATACATTTCTCTTCCATTCAATTATATCCTGACCTGTGGCAGATTTCCCCCGGACATTTCAAAATTCATTCCGCTCTCAGTTGTACAGCAGCTGCTGAAAACACCCACAAGTGTTCTCTTCTCTTCTATTGTGTTCTGTTAAGGTTGGCTACCGGCCGGCCTGCTCCATGTCGATCTGAAACTGATACGCAGTCCACACTCATTTCCCCAACATACCTAATTCATAATGGTAATCATCCAATGAATATTTCATATTTACGTGGATAATTACCAATTTGGTTAATTGCATCCAACAGCAAGCCTAATCTTTGCTCCGTGCTGTTGTGTGGTCTTGTCTCATCGTTCAAAACACAATATCTACTCAGCCACGGACAAAAAAGCTGACTGAATAGCCTCACCATTATGTAGAGACACTAATTATATACCCTGACGCATTTACACATCTTCCAATTAACTGTCATTCGCATGTCTGATAGACGGGCGGAGAAACGGAGAGGGCATGAGACCGTATGTGTTTGTGCACTTGTTCTGTGTTGATGTGTTACTGTGGTGTCTATGCTGTAACTGTTTGTGTGCATTCAGCGTTTTACCACAAATGTATGCGTGCAAAAATGCTCCCATACTGTATGTAAGTGGGTGTGAGTGTGTCTTCCCCCGAGGCTTGCTTCTAATCACAGATAGCTGATGCAGACAGAGAGAGAGAGAGAGAGAGGGGGGGAGAGAGGGAGAGGGAGGCAGTGATCAGTAGAGAGAAGGCCATCCCACCCATCTGGCGGATCAGCACACCCTGACTTTGTGCATGTGTGTGTGTGTGTGTGTTTGTGTACAGGCTAGATATATAGACAGACATGGGAAAGGATGTATATAAGTGTACATGGTGAGAGAGAGACTGGATCTTTTTTCAACCACTTTCTTGATACAAGAAGGAGGTGGAAATCTCAGTGATAGTGACAGTAATTCTATCTGGTGATTAGGAAAGTTATAGTTTTGGAATATGTGAACACCAGAAAGAAAACAGTGTTTAGACATTGGCTCTCCTGGTCCTGTGAAATGGCCATACATTCCTGGATGTTACACAACCAATGCAGAGTGACCGAATTTGTATTTCTGATTACAAACTTGAAAGCGTGTGTGTGTGTGTGTGTGTGTGAGAGAGTTGGAACAGTGAATGTGTCAAGTTGACATATGTCCTGCCATTACCACCGATTTCAATGGGTCTACCTCCGGCCCTCTGTGGCTCCATGCAGCCCCCCCCCCCCCCCCCCCTCTCTCTCTTTCCTCAGCAGCTTTCATTCTCTGCTTCAACAGTCCGTTTCTGTCTCTCTGCCTGCTGAAGCCCACTGTACCTCGGCAAAGTCCGCCATTAGTTTTAGACTACAGGGCAGTGAACATTACAGTAAGCCAGATGTGTACGAAGTGCACAAACTAAAGGAGTCCCCAGACAGTTAATACGGTAATGCATTACAGAAAAGAATAATGCACAAGAGAAAATGTTTGCGATAACATTATTTTTCCTACACCGGGGACATATATCATGACCAAAGAAAATATTTTGCACATACTATCAATGAGCAAAGGCATTATTCTTCACACTTTATAGCATGACAGTGACATGGCAGGACTATTAGTGGAATTACCAATAAACCACTAAGGAGACAATGAGTCTGTAGAGAGTCACCAGATTTATGTCCCATGATGGGGATTTGCAATTAGCTGTTAATCAGGTTTGAAAGAAAAGGTGTGCTGTGAACACAGCCATCTCTGTCCACTAATGGGCATAGTCATTAATAATTGAGAGACATGCATGATAACCATATGAATAGGGTTTTACATAGTTGACGTAAAGCAATTAAATTCTCCACATTGCATTATGTATCACATATTCATACTTTAAGACTTACATCTACACGTTCTATGTATAATTTATACACAGACGTTTTCAGGAACCATATTGTTCAACATTTGCAGTGTATGTGTCATTTACTACCATCATTATGTTCTTTTGAACACTTATGTTTTTATGCTGTAGTAAACTCAAACTATATAATAAAGAGCAATGTTGCATTCAAAAAAAGATCCATAATTTGTATTACTATGAAAGCACATCATTCTATTCTTGCCTTTTTCAGACAGTGATTCGTAAGCATGTCTTTATTTCGGGGTAATGAGACAGAAATCCCTGCGTTTACAGCAGCACAGTTCTGAATGAACCTTGACAAATGACTCGTTCCCCCCTCTGGCTTATAAAATGCTTACTGCACTGGTTATTTGTTACTTCAGCCTACTTTCAAGTCTTATTCCAATCAACTGCCAGGTGCAAAAACCTAATTATTGCCCATTAGTTTTGGCTGAATTTGCTGCTCTGTGCATCACCGCCTCGAGAGGTCGTCTGCAACGACGGCAGCATGAAACAGGAGCGTGTCGTAAATGATGCAGACGGGCTGTAACCCACATCTTTAATTTGTGCAGCATTCTTACAATTTTACTGTCCCGTTTTGTCACATCTCACACCTATAATTGCTTAATCTCTGAGGTTTGGACGATTCCATGCTCTACTAAACACTGAATAAAACAAGGTTTACTGAAGGCAGCATGATGGGAAGCTGCTCTCCTGGGGGACGGTGATGCCTTATCTATGCCATCTTCTGATTATGCATGGACACGTGAAGTTAGGTTTCATGTTTGTGTGAGAGTGTTTGTGTGTACATCCAAGCATGTGTGTCTTTATTTCAGGGCAAATGTCGACATTCCCCATGGCTGAATTTGGGTTAAGTGAAGAATAAAGTCACTCATGGGGTGACCGTGTGTGTGTGTGTGTGTGTGCGCTTCTCTGAATGTTCCACAGGGAGAGAGTGAACCCCAGGCTGCATTACTCACAGCCTGTTTTGACACATGCCCGCGCACGCACACACACACACACACACACACACACACACACACACACACACACACACACACACACACACACACACACACACACACACTTGAAGGCGCTGTGAACACAGTCAGGCCCCAGTGCACACGTCCTGATAGATCTTCACTGTAGAACACATGCACATGCAGTAATAAATGCACGGAGACAAGTGAACACCACCCCACCACAAACACACTGCATTAAGAATAGCCATCGGTCCATGTAAGTATGTTATTAAAGTTACTAAATAATATCCCGTAGACCTTGGGCAGCTCATATGCAATAACACAGGGAGGGGCTCTGTCTCTCTCTCTCCCCCAATCATTCATTCAAACCGTGTGCACTCACCAGGTGTTTGCAAAAGAAATGGCAAATGAGATGTACTACAGTAAGTGCTCAGTGAGGACAAAACCTGGCAAGCAAGATTGCAGAAAAGAAGAGACGAAGGTGCAAATGCAAGCAATTTCTAACTGATAGTAATTTGGAATCATATACAGCTGAATAACTCCACCCCACTTTGATGTGAATATGAGCAGACTTAAGGTTGTGACTCCAAAGCATACTCATATTTCGAGTTGTGACCTATTTTCTTGCTGAACTATTAGTGGTATCATTCCTTACCTGTATTTCAAAAGAACAGAGAAAAGGACTGGATTTGGTGAAAGTCTCTTTCACGCTAAAATAAATATTAACATACGATGCAGCTCCAGAAGCTGCTCTTCACATCTGTCCGTAATTAGAAGCTATGGGAGCTTCACATTTTGTGAAACTCAAAGCTCAACAACCCCAAATTTATCAGGCATGGACATTTTTGCATCGAATCTGATTGGAAGATAACAACATGGTTCACTGGCTCATATTATCACTTCATTACGTGACAGCCTCCCTCCCTGTCTGCCGGCTCTGTGGTCTCCGGAGGGCGTCACCTGTTCTGGCTCAGTGCCCGGCTCTCTCCCCTGACATCTAGTCTCTTCTGAGTTTGATCACATTTGCTGTCCTCTTTTTGCCCCGCCGCACAGCACACCCCTCACTTACTCATGCACCTAAGATGCCACCCGTACTGTAAGTGCATTGCTTCCAATTTGGTTAGATGTCTAATTCATGATGTATATGGGTTAACCCCCCCCCAAAGAAAATTCTTAAAACCCTTAAAATCCATGTGTGCTGCCTCCCCTCTTTGTCCCTCCTTCAGCCAGGTTGTGACAATGGCTACACAAGCCCATGAGCTGGAAACCCCTGTTTCATACAAAAGACTATTCACCTTGCTGGTGAATCTGACACTGGTGTAATTACGGTGAGCACACAAAGGGAAAGGTATCAACATGGTGTAAAAAACAACAACAATCTTAGCTTCCATCCATTTCTCATGAACTGAACCAATAGAATAAAGACAAAGACGAGGAGAGAGTGTATGTGTGTGGGCAGGAATATGGGTTACCTATAAAACATCAACGGTATATACAGTGAAAGCAACAAGAGTGTTTTTGTTTAAGTCAGACTGAATTGGAGATAGTATGTTGTCTACACACCTTGAGGGCCAGGTGAGGCTCTCTCTCTCTAGCAGGTGTACAACAAGTGACAAACAGAGTCTCCTTGTTATTGGCTGAGGCGACATCCTATAGCCATGCCTGTGTTCTATCTCGCCAGTCAAGGCTTAAAACCTGAAACTCAACTCTTTAAGTCAATTTACTCATGTAACACCAGTGTGAAACTTATTTTTCAAACCCCAATGTTGATTAGGTGGATGGTGTGTAAATGGCACTGATTGAGCCGTATTAATCATCTTTCATCCCTGCAGATGACAATGCTGCCTGTATGCATTGCTTCAAAACTCCACTACAATATGAAATAATTGTCTCCGAGATATCCAGAGAAGAATATACAAATCTAGAATGAATTTACCTCCACATAGGGCACCACTTTGCAGGTGAATTCCCCCAGCAGCCAGGACTTTGTCAGTTCATGAAAGACCACCATGGGCAGGCAGAACAAGATGAGCACAAAATCCCAGACAGCCAAATTGGCCAGCAGCGAGTTGGAGATGCTCTTCATGTAATAGTTCTGGCACACGATGCACAGGATGGCAATGTTGCCGGCTATCCCCACCAGGAAAATAACCCCGGAGACGCAGGTGATGGCGTAAGCGCCGTACGTCTCACTTGTCACCGGGTAAAAGGGGTTCTTGATCTCGTCCCCGAAATCCTGCGAGCTGGGAGGGGTGATCGGCGTGGCGTCCCAGGGGTTCTCCTCCCTGAAAGTGAAGAACTCGGTCCTCTTGGTGAAGAGGTCAAAGGGCAGGTCGGTGGAGGTGAGGGCCACCGGCTTGGGGATGGGTTCCCACGGCGACCCGTGAGACAGAGCCAAAACCCCCAAGCTTTTGTTCAGCCGGCTTCTCCCCCTCTTGGAGGCTTTCTTCTGCTCGTCTTTTGTGCCCCTCTTGTGCCTGTCGCCGTCCTCGGGCCCCCCTCCTCCGTCTCCCCGGCCCATTGAGGAGGGCTTAGCCGCATTGTAGTGTCCACCTGCTGGCGTCCCCGTACTACTAAGAGCGCCATTCAACTTTATCCTCTTATTGTGGTGGCGCGTCGGGTCCCAATGTGAGACGGCGTTGGGATCCTCCACGGGTGTCACGGTCCTGCTGAAGTCGCGCTTGTTGTGTCCAATTCGCCTCGTTTCTCCTGCCATCACCCTCTTCCAGGGATGAGTGGAGTTAAGGGGCCCTCGCATAATTGCCCGTTGCGCCTGCCGCTCCGCCGAGGACGCACCTGTGGCGTGCCCCGACGAGAGCGCGCGGTCCCAGGCTTTGTTTTGACGGCTCTCCCGTGGAGACCCGTGGAAAGTCCTCGCAGAGTATGCGCTGGCTTTGCTGTCCTCTTTAGCTCGTACTTCTCCATTGTTTCTCAGAGATAACAATACGTGCGCGTGGGCTAACAACACAAATAACGCCCGAGGCGGCAGAATCTGCATGGTCCAGGAATGGTTGAGCGCAGATTTAATTCTCACAAATGCATCTTCATACCTCTGTGGCACCGCGGGGAATATACTCCTCCATTCAGTCAACACCCATGTTGGAAACGGCACAGTGGGGAGCTCACGGTTTCAAGGAATACAGCTCCATTCATTAGGTGAGCTCTGCAAACTTGTAAGTTATATCCCGACGCCTTGTCTTGCCACTATGCAGTAATCTCCAAATAGCCGCCTCACTCCCAGGGGTCACTCCCGTTTCCAAAGTCTTGACATTACCGAGCAGGACAGCGAATCAGAGTCCCGATCCAGAGAGAAAGAAGCAACGAGAGGTGGAGAGGGTATCGCTGCATGTCCACGCACACAATCCGCACCTCATCCAGGTTCCAGCTGTGGGTAACGGCAGCTAGAGAGACCGTCTGCTTCTCGCTCTGTATGTCAGTGCATTAGTTTGGTGGGTTGGGTCGGCTGGCAGCAGCAGCAGCGTCAATGCGGTGCAGTCCGGGTAAAGCCCCCCTAGGTTGTGATGCACGGGAGTGGAGAGAGAGAGAGAGAGAGAGAGAGAGAGAGAGAGAGAGAGAGGGGGGGGAAAGAGGAGGGGTTGAAATCGCTCCGTTTCTCGTCCCTTCCTCCTCTGCGTCCAGTGCCTCACCTCCTCTGCTTTCTCTAGGAGAGTAGGACCGTGCGCTGGAAAAAAATGGTCTCCCCTGGCGGCTAACCTCGATCTGTCACTCCTCATCCATCACGGAGCATCCAGCAGCCCCCGAGCAGACTACGGCTACAGCCCCCCCCCCCCCCCAGCCACGCCCGACAGACGTGCTAATAAATACATTTTATTTTTGTGCCGTCATATCGCCGCACTTGCACAACATTATTAAACAGATGCCATTTAATCTTCCTCTCTATGTAGTTTAAAAGCGAATAGGAATAAAAGAGTGAGTGACAGTTGCACTTGTTTTAAACGAAAGTCAACTCTCAAAATATATTTCTTCTTCTCTAAAAAAGATGCTTGAGGTCATTTATTAAGCCTTTCAAACAGACCATGACCTATACGTGTTGTAGGCTTTATTAAGAGGCTATATGAAGTACACCTGCAGACTTGCAAAGGCTGTCTGAAATGTAACTGAGAGGAAACATTCGTGGGTGGGTTGAAGTATAATTATTGTAAAGTGTACTCTGACCTCTTGTGACAATGCACTTAAACTTTGACTTGACCCTGTGTCTGCATCTCTCAGTATCTTACTGTCATTCCTCCAGTTTGATATAATGAAACTAGTACATTTCAATCTAGAGCAGGGATTGCGCCCTGCTGTATTTCGTACATTCTGGAAATCGTGGAAATATTGTTGAGTAAAGATGTAATAACACCACGTGTGGACAAATGTTTAAGATTGGAAGCTGAAAGTAATGGATGAGCAATTTAAATAATAAGCTTAAAGTAAAGGAAATGCTGGAATAGCTTGAATATTAAATGGTAAGAAATAAGGTTGGAAGACCTTAAATAAATAAAATCAAATGATAAATGGCAGATATACCAGTGGTTCTAAAGATTTTTAGTCAAGCATACCCTCCCAGCCCTGTTAGATCAAGGACCCCTTCATGAAAACTAGCATATCCAAGGAAATGTCTATAACAACCACAAACCATGCTGTATGTCCAGTAGCTCAATCAATAATTCAAGACTCCCTAGACTAAATGAAATGAGCACTATATGTCTCAAGTGTTCTAAGTACTGCTCCAAGTAAACAGTTCACACTGCTGGAGCTTCAGACCACATACTGCAGACAGTCTGAACCATGTGGGGGAAAGATATTCACACACAACATGAATGTGCACAGACACACACGCACATCTATGCAAACATGCATAGAAATGGATGTATATGCTGGTGTACGCAAACAGACGGTTGTATAAACATGCAAATACTTACATATTTGTGTGCATGTTTGTTGTCCAAAAACATACGCAGGTACTGAGAGAGACAGAGAGAGGAGAGAGTGAATTGGCAGACTTAGCGGACATCTAGCTGGTGACCTTCTACATCAAACAGGTGATTGGAGCCAATTCATACCAGGCACACGCGCACACACGCGCGCGCACACACACACACACACACACACACACACACACACACACACACACACAC